CACTGGACACAACTTCCTATTCAGTCTGACAGCAACCACTCTGAGATTTCTTTTAATTCACATCTTTTAATTTCATTCATATAAAGAAAAAGATTGTAGGCTGGGCATAGTGGCACATGCCTCTTAATTCTAGCACCCTAGAGACAGAGGCAGGTAGATCTCTGTGAGTTCCAGGCCAGCCAGCCTTCTAGGACAAGGCTGTTACACAGAGAAACCCAATCTCAAAAAACCATAATGAACAAACCAACTGACTAATAAATTTTTTTTTTCAAAAGAAACACAGGTTTTAAATAAGGGAAAATTCTAATTTATGAAGCAGTACACAAGCAAACCCCTGTTTTTCTTCATCAGTTTCAGCCTGTACCATGTTCACTCCTCATGTTGTGTGTTCTAGTCAAACTGGACTTTAACCAATGCCTTGCACTTGTCATTCTAAAGTAAAGTAGGTCTCTAGCATAAGCACGTTGTTTCTGGTACATGAGAGGCTCTCTCCTCTGCCTGGGAAATACTCTTATGTTAGTTCTCCATTACCACTTCTTAGAGAAACTTTCCTGATGGTCAATATATGATATTCTTCTCCTTAATAACACCCAACACTATTGCAAATTTTACATTTATCTGTGTAGCTCTGAACTGATGCCTCAAAAGAATACTGACCTTAGCATTATGGCTCAGACAAGAAGTTTACCTCCAAAAGGTCCATGTATGGAAGGCCTGGTTGTACATGGCACCACTATTTTAGGAGATTAGCTGGAAATTTTAGAAATAAGGCCAAGGTAGAGGTAGGTAGGGAAGGCAGGTCCTCTTTCTGGGGGAGAGGCAGGAATAATCTTGTCCTTGATCCCTTCATGTCTGTGTCCTGCCTATAATAAGGCAAAATGCCACCTGTGTTACATGTGGGACCAACCAATCATGGGCTGAACCCTTTAGTCCAGATCCCAAGTAAATCTTTCCTTCATTAAGATGCTTTATGTATTTTATCACAGCTATGAAAACAGCAAAACCAGCAACACAGAAAACTAATACAGGAAGTGGGATAATTGCTATAGCTAATCTGACCATACAGTCTAGAAACCTTTGGAACTAGCATATGGAAAATCTGGAAGAGATTGGGGATATGGGCTAGAGAAGCTCTAGAATGTTATAATGCTTAATTCTCATAGAAGCTCAAAGGGCAGAATGCCAATAGAAATTCAGAGGCTAAGGATGGGAACAAGGATTCTGTGTTAACACATGGCAAAGTTGTTGACTATATTTTGTCCATGCCTTGAATCCTTCTAGAAACCTGAATTTAATCTAGCAGAGGAAGTTTCAAGCCCAGCATTCAGAATGTGGGACAGCAAGGCAGGCTACTTTAACCACAGTCACAGTAAAAATGAAGCAGAAAGTCTTGCAATTTGGTCAGAAAAGTCTATATAAAATTGAGGCCAAGAAGGCATAGTTTCTTCAAAGTTAGAGCTATTAAGAAGCTACAAAGGACTTTATACCAAGCAAAACACATTTCTTAAATATTAATGGTGCCAGTTCACCAACCAAAAGACAAACTATCTGAATGGATTAAGAAATAGGTCCACCTTCTTGTTTACAACAAACATACCTCACTTTCAAGGATGAAAGGATTTCAATAGTGAAAGGATTTAAGAAAATATACCAAAAAAGTTTAGTTAGCATTACCCTACAGATAATGCTTCTCCCAGAAACATGACTATTACATAAAAAGCCCAGTCTCAGGTATGGGATACCTCCCCTAGAGTTATTGGTCAAGGCAGTATAAGAGATTGTCAAAACAATAAGGCTATTTCCACTGCGCTTGGCTGCCCATCAGAACTTGGGGATAAAATACTAATGCTGAAGACACCACATACTTTAGTCACGGGATTTGGAGAAAGCAAGCTGGCTCCTAACTGGCCCTCCTCTCTTATGGTTAGCTTTCACAGTGCCACACGCAGGCTCCTGGGAGAGAAAAGGCACCAAGAGTCTTCCCAGCAAGATATGCCCATTGGTATAACAGCAGCACCAATGTCTTGGGGTATATGGTGGTCTGAATAAGAAATGCCCTCCCAGGCTCATGTATTTGAACACCTGGTCCCCAGTTAGGAGAGGTTACTAGAGGAAGTATGTCACTAATGTGGGCTTGAGGTACAATCTAGTCTCACTTCCTGTTCTCCTTACCTCTCTTCCCTTCCTGTGTGTAGCTGAAAATATAACTGGCCAGCTTCCCACTCCTGCCACATGCTTTCTTTCCCTGACTGCTGCCATGTTGCCATGCCTTTTCTACCATGGACTTCTATTCCTCTGGAAATATAGGATTAAGTAAACATAGGATTTAAGTTGCTTTTAGTCAGGGTATGTCAGATTTAGGGCCTACTTCAACAAGAGGGAACTCATGACCCATAGAGTGTACTTGGCCATCTATCCCTATACCCAAAGACTAGTCCAGAGCTTACCCCTTCTCAGAGAAGCTTCTTTTAGCAGTGTATGCAAGGTTAACAGAAAGGAACAAAAATGATCAAAGTGCAGAGATTAAATCACTGTGTAGTACTCATCCCCAAATGACCCGCCCCCCTCCACACACAGAGTCTTCTCAACATGACAGGCAGTCACACTCATGAATTCTCAGCAACTGTGGATACACACAAGACCTTGACAAGATCAATCTAGTCAATATTCCAGCACAGTTGGGAAGGCTCACAAAGCTACACTGCTAGTTGAGAAGCTTCAGGGAGTTGATGGATACAGAGAGACAGTTAGTCTTCAAAGGTAGGGACCCTGTTAAGTTAACCTTGAGTTTCCATGCTACAGCAACATTCATACCAACACTGATTGGACGATGCAGGTTCTATGAAGATGGGAAGGTGATGTGGGGAGTGTGACATGACAGAATCAGGAGGAGTTGGAGGGGTAGAGTGAAGAGTGGATTTGGTCAAAAATAAAACGTGCTCTCGTAAAAAGTCTTTAAAAAACACAACACAGTAATCTATACTCAAACAACATATACTGAGAAATCAGTCATTTTTGGCCAGCAAGCCTATCTAATTCTCACACAGGCTTTGTGTTTCTCTCACAGAACTCAGTAGGAGGTTTAACAAAGGTTTTAAATGGTAATTATACTTGAATTCATTTCATAGGGAAAAAAAAATGAAAACCACAGTGATATTATCAAGAAGACACATCCCTCAAAATATTAAACACATGGATGTTATTAACATAGAAAGGTACAGCAACTACATATAAATAACAGTGATTGTGATCCAGACTTGTAGAGTGTCTAGTGTCTCATTGTATCAGTTAATAAAATTAATCCAAACAAAAGGTTGAGAAATAAATCAAGTAGCAATCTAATTAAATAAGATGCCACTATCCACTTATTAAAAGAGCTAAAATACAAACACCAACAATACCAAGCTGCCAGAAGTATAAATCTGGTATAATTATATTGAAAAACTTGAGAGCCATGAGTTAAAATTGATTATGTAAAACTCTCTATAACTCAGTAACTTCCCTCCTTGGCATTTCTTAATACAAATACACACACATATGTATGTATGTATGTTTGTATGTATGTATGTATATGTGTATATCTCATAAGACTTATAAAAATGTTCAAAGCTGAATTTCTTTTTAAAATAACGTTTTTACTTATTCTTGAGAATTTTATGCAATGTGTTTTTGATGTTATTCATCCCCCTAACTCCTCCCAGACCCTTCCTACCCCTCTAACTTTATGTCCTTTCCCTAAAAGTCCCAGAAAACAAATTTTACTTTTCTTTCTTATTTGCAGGTTCACTATGTAGACCAGATGGCCCAAAATTCATATAGATCTACTTGCCTCCGTCTCTGCCTCCTGAGTGCTAGGATTAAAGATGTAGGCTGCCATGTTCCACTAGTAGCATTATTCTTAAAAACACAAAAGTAGAAATAACTCAAATGTGCATAAAACCACATCAGATAGATCATGATATATTTTATAACGAAGAAATACCACATTCCATAACGAATGAGCTAGTACTACATACTGAAACACAGATAAACCCACTAATGTTGGTTTTAGGAACCTGAGATACAATGCTGAGGCACAGCTCACTAAGGTATAATGCTTGCTCAGCATGTACAAGGCTGAGTTTAACCTCTGGCAATGCAAGAAAAAAAGGGGAGGGGACAAAATAAACCCAAGTATACACCTTGTAGTGTTTATTTATAAAAATAAACTGGTAGAAAATGGTAGTTATCATAGGGGAAATGTTTGAGAAAGCACAAAGAACATTCCCGCCCCCACATCCCCCCCACCCTGTCACATTTTAGTTCTATTGTTAGCAATGTATTCACTTTATAACTACTAAGTTTCAGATTTCTGAATCTTACACTTTATCAGAAAGTCTACTTTAAAAACAGAGGAAGGAAAGAACCAGAAGATGGAGGAAAGGCACAAAAAGCTAAGACTGTTGGCTCTGCCAAATGCTACTGCTATGGTTTGTCTGTAGTAAAACTATGTTGAAACTTATACCCTGGTAATTAAAAATGGGACAAAGTTGGCATCTGTCAGAGGTAACTAAGTAATAAGGGCTCCATCCTCATGAAAGCAATGTGGTTCTTATGAGAGTGACTTAGGAGCTAGAGAGATGGCTCAGTAGTTAAGAGCACATCTTGTTCTTGCAGGGGACCTGAGTTTGGTTCTTAGCACTCATGTGCACTATGTACATGTACACAACATTCTAAAAATAAATCTTTAACAAGAGTAACTTAGTGATATGAGTGCATTGTTATGAAGATTGCCTGTCACTTCCCGGCATAGCGTGTTTGTTTCTGCACAAAGCTGATTCACTTCTGATTTTCAAGGTGCAGTGTATGGGCCCCATCAGAAACTGAACAGATATTGGTAATGTCTTGGACCTCCAGAATTGGAAACTAAATAATCCCGTCTTCTTCATAAATTACTACTCTTTGGGTATTTTGTTATAACAACAAAATGGACTCATATAGCAGTACATAAAAGAAATTACCTAAATTGTGCTACCTAAATCCATAGAATAAATGAGCAGTAGAGTAGGGCTGGAATTGAAGTATATTACTCTCTCTGAAATCCTTGAAAGAATGTTTCTGAGTGTATGCAGAGGGTCCTTGCCACTCAAGCACTCATTATCTTCATCTGCAATGAAATGAGGTTTAAGAGGAAACAAAATAGAACACAAATTTGAAATTTAACATATTTACCAAAACACAGGAACACTTATAAAACTTGTTTTCAAGCAAATGTTCCTTTTCTGGCTTCTGCTTCACCTATCCCCATCAACTGTCCTTGTCAGTCATTCTTAGTTAAATCTTTATTGTGTTAAAGTGCAGCACTATATAATCAACTACAAAGCGAAACAATGCATCTTTAAAAAAACATGGTGGAGAAAATAAAAATGTAAGTGTGTCACTGGGGGTGGGTTTTCAGGTTTCAAATGCTCAAACCAAGCCCAGTGACCTTCTCTCTTCCTGTGGCTCTTTCTCCAGCATAATGTCTACCTGTGTGCTGCCATGCTTCCCGAAGGACAGTAATGGTCTAAGCCCATTGAAACTTTAGTCAGCCCCAATTAAATGTTTTTCTTTATACGAGTTGCCGTGGACGTGGTGTCTCGTCACAGCAATAAATCCCTAAGACAGAAGTTAAACCAGGGAGTAGGGTATTGCTGTGATAGGGCTCACTGTGCTTTTGTTTGGAGGAATGTGGACTTGGGGATTTTGGATTAGGAAAGCAGCTGAATGCTTTAAGTGGGATTTAAAGAGTCACACCAGTAGAAGGATAGAAAGAAGACAGTGGTGCTGAGGGGGACTGAAAATGAAAGGACCTGACTCAAGAGGTTTCAGAGGAGAATGTTCGTATGTGGCTTAGAGACCACTCTTGTGAGGAATATGGCTGCTTTCTGCCTCTGTCCAAAAAGCCTGCCTGAGTCTTAATTGAAAAGCTATTAACAGCTTTGGCAGAGATTTCAAAAATAGCCTAGTATTGACTGTGTCGTGTGGTTATTAGTGGCCAGTTTTATGCAGATCTATAATGAAAAGCAGGAAGCTGAGCAAGTTAAACTACAAAATGTAGAGTCTGAGGAGAAAACAGATGCCAGGCATCATAATGGTCCTTGTACTCAAGAAGATAAAAGTTAAAAGCCTGGTCCTAAATGGAATAAAGATGGTAATGATCTCAAGGCAAAACTTCACCCAACTAAGCTTCCAACCTAAAGTGAAAAGGAATTAAAGTTTAGAAACAGGCTTGGTGGTATATATCTTTAACCCAACACTCAGGAGGCAAATGCAGGCAGATCTCTGAGTTCAAGGCCAGCTTGGCCTACAGAGCAAATCCCAATGCGGCCAGGCTTAGGCAGTGAAGGAAACCATAGAAAACAGAAATCTGGAACAAGGGGTCATGTTTCAGCCCCAACAATTACCAGAACATGGCATAAAACCCTAACTAAGACAAAGACACAGGAATCAATTATGGTGATTAAATGCTACAGGAGGGGTCTGTAATAGCCCAACAAAACTAACAACACAAATCAATGCACAATGATACCATGTATCTTTTTAAAATGCAGGAATCCATCAAGTTGCTAGAGAAGTCAGAAATTCACCCAAGTCTTATAAAGAAAAATCAGGCAGATTAAATAAGCCACAGTAGAAGGGTCAGATCTCTAGGTGCTCACCAAGTATCCATATTCCTCTTACTCAGTAGCATAACCTTGATTTTCCAGTAATTCTAATTTAGTACCTGTATTTCTATTTTAGCAATAAAACAAACAGATGTCACAGTAATCTAAAGCCAAGTCTTAAAAAAAAGAATCAATTTTAAAATCAAGGACCTAAACATCCAGGCTCGGATAATCTTCTCAAGTTTAACATCTGATGTTGCAGCCTATCTATTTAAGGAATGAGGTAATGCTTTACAACGCTGCAGTCCACGGATGACAAGGTTTGGCGGAGAAGAGTATACAAGAATGAGTTTAAACAACAAGTTTAAGCACCAGTGAGCTCGATTTAATTACCATTACAGGCATACATCAAAGACATCTGCTGTCTCAAATCATCAATATTGTAAACCACAAAAAGGTTACAAGAAGAATTATGAAAAGAGATACATATTAAATAATTAATCCAGCCATTCAGTTATTTCAGCATCAAGGCCAGGAAAGATCTACGCATTCAAGAACACAGTATCTACTGCACCATACTGTGCCAGTTGGTGAACAAAGACAAGCTTGCCGCGGCCAGCATTCGCTTAAGGAAATCAGGAGTTGGTATCTTCCTATTTAAATAGATCTTACGTTCTTCTGTTGCCCATACCCACAGCAAAGGCGCCAGAAAGGCGAATTAGGTTTTTCAACCACTCGAGCTTACGTTGTGCTTTGTCCTCTTGAAAAAAACAGAATCAGAGTCAACCAACTGAAACATGCCTAGAACCTCCTTCCATGTATGTTCTCTACCAAGTAAGGCTCACGGAATCAAAAAGCAACCAAGGAGCGTTCCCATGCTTACCGGGTCTATTAGAGGTTATAATCTAGTGAATAAATAAAAATCTGTCTACCGTCTCCGCCGTTAAAACTCGCTTTTCATAAGCCACCTTTCGATGACGTGCTGCAGTTTCACGAATACACCACGTCTCAAAGACAGAACAAAGAGATACATATTCTTGGCAACAGCGGCGCCCAGAGCCCTTAGAAAACGGTTATTTACCGGCATCTTGTTTTGCCCTAAATGAGCAGGTATGTGAGGATGCGTCGAGTAGTGGTGCCTCCTGGGTGACACGGGAAGCCCTCTGAGGGGTCTCACGGCACCGTTACTGCCCGCGAACCGAAGGCTCCGGGCTTCGCCGAGAACTGGAGTAGACCGGTTACACAACGGCCCCAGAGGCCCACCGCCCGCCTCCCGAGTGCCCGCTCAGTGGGCCTCGGAAGCCCCGTGGCAGCGCAGGCCCGCGGCCAAGGCGACAGGCCCGGCCGCCCCGCCCCGCCCCGGGGCCCGCACAGCCCGCACCTGCTTTCTCATGTTGTTCATGACGCCCATGAAACCCGCGAGCAGCTTGGCTTCTTCCCGAGCAGCAAGTTTCTTCTCGGTCTTCTTCTTGCTACTCTTCTCCACGCCGGAGGTGGCCATCCTCTTCTTGCCCTCCGCGGCTTTGCGGCGAGGGTCTGCCCGCCACACGCGGCGGTCGGGAGCACGGCGTCGGCTGCAGAGCACGGGCCGCTGCGGGACCGCCGAGGGAGGATGCGGCTCCTCGGATAATCGCAGACCAGGTGAAGACAACTCAGCCACGGTTGCAAGCAAAGCGGGTCGCAAGCATGCGCACTGGGCCTGGGATGGGGGGGGGCGGGACGCTAAGAAGCAGGGGGCGGGGCATGTGCGTCACAGCCGCGCGACGCTCCCAGCAACCGGCTGTGTCGTGCAGATCGGTGGGTGCCGCCACATTTTTTTCTTGGACCACTGAGTGCTTGTTGCATCGGCCTTAACCAAGGTCACACGTGCCTTTCTCCTGCCAAAGGCAGAGTCCCCAGGTTTAGATGTCGTAATGATCTATTTTGGATGATTGTAGATGATAGGACATACTAAGACTGTGTCACACATACTGCCAATGTGTCTAAGCTCCTTGAGAACAGAATTACTGCAAATCCAGTGTGGCATATTGGAGGCACTCAGTAACTATTAAATGATTAAAGAAAAATGCATACTGCAAGGCAAAAGCCTATTTACCCCGACTTACTTGTTAGGGTTCAGAAAGCAAGAACATAATCCTATAGATGACTCCTTAACATAACATGCCTTCCTGTTTAATAGGCTGTTTACATGGGAGGCCTAGGCAAGTGGATCTCTTGTGAGAAACCCTGTCTCGAAAAACAAAACAAATAAACCAGAGATCAAACGTCACTTCCAGAAGGCTTCAATTAGGCTTCCTGGCAGTTCCACTGGAACACAGTTTAATCCTAGAACTCATAGAAACATGTTTCATAAGTACAGTTTTTTATTTTGCTGTTTAGGAATATACAGGACTATCTGAAATCACTATGTTTAATAATAAAAACTTTCTACATAGCCTCTCCGTTTTCTACCTAGATGTATAACAGAGTAGATGTAAGCATTGCAGCTCAGAAGGAAAGGTATCCTGGAAGTCACCGCAGTCACTGTAAGGTGGTAGCTTACAGCCCTGCTAAGATAGGGTGCTGTTTCTAACAAGGCAGCAAGAAACGAGAAATAAAGCACACATGAGTTCCTCCTCCCATCAAGATCTGATTTTCAGAAATTGCTCTTCTGTCTGTTCTATAAAATCTACTTCTTGGGGACAGCAAGATGTGTCAGTGGTTAGAGATGCTTACCACCAAGACTGATGATCTGAGTTTGATCCCTGAAACATACTTTGTGGGAAGAAACACACACAGGCATGTACACACTAAATGCTTGCTATCTATCTATCTATCTATCTATCTATCTATCTATCTATCATCTATCTATAGTGGTTTGAATAGGAATCCCCCCCCATGGGTTCATAGTTGTCAGGGAATGCGCTGTTTGACAGGGAGGTGTGCCTTGTTGGAGTATGTGTGGCCTAGGAAGTAGTAAGTCTGCTTTGTCTGACCTCTTGCATGAATATTCGGTCTCACTGGATTTATGTAAACAGTAGCCTTTGTAACAACTTTGGGTGGTATCCAAATGTAACTTTGTTGGGGAAAATCCTGCATATATTTATATTTCACGTTTGGAGGTTGGTGGTACCTATTGCTTGAAACTTTGTTGTAGTCTAGTGACTTTTGAAAAGCCAGCTCAGCTGGTCTCCATTTTTCCATGAATTATCCACCTCTGTATCCACTTGTGGTGTGGATTGATAAAGCTGTATTTGATCTGTGGGGCTTGACTTCTACCAGCCTCTGCTATTGGATCAAGGTTGAATGCCAAATAAAGCCAGCTGGCAAACTTGGGGATGTGGCATCAAGTTTTCAGTGGAGTTGGAAAGAGGATCTTGGTAATTTGCTATTTTGCAATTTGCCTAGGAGGGGAATGAGGGGCTCAGCCACACTTGTCTAGACCATGTATATAGATAAGCACAGAAGGGCAATCTGTAGAGACTACAGATAGAACAAAGCACAACTGAAACCCTGGAAGTCAGTGGAGACATTAGGCAGTGGGCAGGGTTTGCTGTGAGGTTAACTAAGCTTAAAATTCATTGTCTCTAACTTGAAAAGATCTGCTTTCAAGGTGTTCACATGATCATTTGGTTTTATAAAATTATTAAAATATTTTAATTATGATAGTTTGAACATTGTCTCATTCCACTGATTTCCTCTCTCACACACTTCTTATTTTCAGGGTGTGTTGAAGTGGCCATGGGTATTTTGGGAAACTAAGGGCCAATAAAGTAGAGAATACATTTTATTGGTGCCTAGTGGACTATTTACACTGAGATAGACATAATAAGCTCTTTTCAGCCCCTAATGTAGGAATCTCATTGGGATTATCCTTATGCCAACTGCCAACCTTGTTATGTAATCCAAAGATGTGGGAGATGTCCCTTTGTATGCTGTGAATATATGTTTCTTTTATTGGTTGATGAATAAATGCTGACTGGCAAGTAGCCAGGCAGGAAGATAGGTGGGGCTACCAGACTAGAAGGCTGGAAGAGGAACTCAGAAAGTCTTCAGAGAGACGCCATGTAGCTGCTGAAGGAATATCATGCTGGAGCATTATGGGTAAGCCACAGCCTTATGGCAATACATAGTTTCATAGAAATGGGTTAATAATTAAGAGAGAGCTAGACAATAAGAAGCCTGAATCATTGGTCAAACAGCAGTTTATAATTAATATAAGCCTCTGTGTGTTTACTTGGAACTAAATGACTGTGGGACCAGGTGGAACAGAAAATCCATGTTTAACCTTGCCACAGTGTCTTGTAGTACTCACTGGAGGAAGCTTGAAACAAGTTTGGTTGGCTGTTGTGTGGCAAATTCCTCAAATCATAAATATGTAGAAACTATAAGGTAGAGATTTGGCACTCTGGTCAAGAGTGGAGGAAATAAAGTTGTCACACTTATATTTTAAAATATACACAGCACATGAATAATAAGGACCACCTGAACTTCCAGAATGGCAGAACAGGGCCTCTGCAAAATCCTCCCTCTGTGATAATAAGAATGATGGAAAATTGTCAAAATTAACTTTTTAGGGTGCTAGAAATCAACTAAAGGCTTATATCCACCAGGAAGAATTATTCAAGAAAAATGGTTTAATCTCTGTAAGAACAATGAAATGTGATATTTAAACTTTTCCTGTCCCCAACAAATATGGCTACCAATGCCATCACCATCTGAGAAGCCAGAGCAAGTTAAGAGCCCTGCTCCCAAGCCCCACTAAAGCCAGTTCCTGAAACAGGGCCCAGAGGCCCTTGAGCTGAGACTGATCTTAATGCCCCATCCCTAAGGACTAGCATTCATTGAACCAGAGGGCGCGATGCAAACTTCCAAAAGAGAGAGAAAAACAACAGTCCTACCCAGCTATGATGTCTCTGAAGCACATCAATGACCAGCATGGCACAACAGTCCCACGAGTGCAGTGATGGCACACACATCTTGGTAGTAACCAATTGCTTTCTAATTGAACTTGGGACCTGCCCCACAAGAGGAATTCCATGTCTGGTAATGGAAACCTGGCTAACCACTACTCAGTGCTAGTGAACCCATGGTTATTGGAGGAGAGTCTATAACTACTACTTTACTAAACCAGCATAATCCCTAGTAATCTATAACACATCTGTATTTATCCAAAAATATGCATAGTCTTAACCCTCATCAATACAATTCTCTTTGCAACAAATGGAAACCACTACAGAAAATCACAACCATTCCATATGCAGGGGTGTGGATACCGGTCCCAATGGTTACATCTACAAAACACTCATGTGCCTAAGGTTCATAGAACATTGTGGAAGAGGGGATTGAAAAAAATATAAGAGCTAGAGAATCAGGGACTTTTCTGTGAGATTGTGTCTCCTAATAGCATTAGAAGCTTTACCCATAAAGTCTCAAAAACACAACTGCCCAAATGTGAGCTAAACAAGGATGACACCAATGACCATGACAAAGTGGGCCTCACCCCTACACAAAGAACTACAGGCAACCCAGAAAGCTGGGAGCAGGAAAGGTGGTGTGGAAGAGCACACCAATTGCTTTGCCCATTGTCAAATAGTCAGCCCTGAAAACATATATACAAGTAACATTATATGGACTCAACAGGTTATACATAGGAATAAATATGTACATACAAATACATATTTGTGTGCCATCAGAAAAAAGAAAAAAATAAAGCCATAGTAAGTGTCTCAGTTAGGGTTTCTATTGCTGTGATGAAACACTATGACCAAAAGGCAAGTTGGGGAGGAAAGGGTTTATTTGGCTTACACATCAGCATTGCTGTTCATCTCACTGAAGGAAGTAAGGACAGGAATTCAAACAGGGCAGGATCCTGGAGGCAGGAGCTGATGGCAGAGATCGCAAAGAAGAGCTGCTTACTGGTTTGCTTCCCATGGTTTGCTCAGCCTGCTTTCTTACAGAACCCAGAACACCAGCCCAGGGATGATACCCCCAACCATGGGCTGGGCTCTCCCACATTGGTCCTAAATGTGAACACACCTTACATCTAGATCTCAGGGAGGCACCTCCTCAGCTGAGGCTCCTTCCTCTCATGACTCTATAGCTTGTGTCGAGTGGATGCACAAAGCCACACAGTACAGTAAGATGTCACCCTCAAATACTCCTATCTTTGAAAGACTGACCACATCAGGTGTTGGTGAAGTTGTGCAAGAGCTCAACTTGAATACTGCAATGGGAATGTGAAACAAAGGCCTAACTTGGAAAACAGTTTGGCCCTTGCTTAAAGCTGCCTGTCGACTTGCTAAATGAACTGGCCATTCTACTTCTAGATGATTATCCTAAGGAAATGGAGATCTATGTCCTAACGAAGACTTGTGTGAAGATCATCAACTTTTATTTAAAATAGCCTGAAGGGGCAGAGAGAAGTGGTTAAGAGCATTGACTGCTCTTCCAGAGGATCCAGGTTCAACTCTCAGCTCACTGGCAGCTCACAACTGTAACTCCAGTTTCAGGGAACCCAAAACTCCTCATGGCTAAACATTAATACACATGAAATGAAAAGAGCCTAAAATTAAAAGCAATTCAGGGTCCACCAGGTGAAGGCTTAATAAAAATGATACATCCATACAGTGGAAATGCAAGTTGAGCATATCTTAATTTGGAAATCTGAAACACAAGCTTCTATAATACCCAAAACTCTTTGAGAACTAACACGACACCATAA